TTGATTGATTAGAGAGTGATGATTGCAGTAAATGGCCTGGAAGATGGCTCCATCTCTGTTTCCCGTTTTCTCCATCTCTTATACCTTCTTCCCTCACTCACTTGCTTTCTCACTTACACAACTATCTCACTCTCTCTCTCGTTCCCGTCGTGCTTCTCTTTGTCACCCCCTCTTCTCCCTGGTTTCATCATGGCAACCCATCAACACAGCGCCTCTTTCTCTCTCTCTCTCTCCTAATGGCACAGCTATTAGTACTAATGCATTTCAAACATACAGCAGCTGCCACATCGCAATCTGAATGAAAGGACATGTCTTCCTCCAATCTCTCCAATCTCTGTCCTTTCTTCATCCAATCTTGTGTCTCGGTCCTAATGTGCTGCGCCTTATGTCAACTCTTCCTCAGATATATGACAGTGGTCATCAACAGCAACCTCTATACGTGATATAGGACGTGTGGCTGATAATAACATTGCTAATATACCTACAAGGTAGCTCCCCAGATATATATATATATATATATATATATATATATATATATATGCATTCTTTATTTACTTGTTACACAGCGTCCCAACATTAAAACTACTAAAACCAAACTTTTTTTTAGCTCCAGCCAGAAGATTGCAAAACTCCCCAAAAGAGTTTAACAAATGCCGGGTAAGCCTAACTCGCTGATATCCACACTGAAATACGAAGTCATAATTACGTTGTGGGAACAATATCTGCCCATCTCCCAGCCCCGTCTCTGTCAGTAGCAAAATGTGAAATATAAGAGAAATTAGGGCTGTTCGATATAACGATATATATCAGATGACAATATAAAAACGTCTATCATTTCACTTTACGCTATTGTTTGTTTCGTGGTGTCGCAAAATAAACTGTGTACAGCAATATTTTTTCATCGTTTTGATGGTCACTGTAGTGGCTATATTAATTTCTTAAAGTTCTCTCTTTCTCTTATATTTAATATAACCACACTACGGACGGACAAGCACCTGTTTTTATGCGTTGTAGTTAGCAACAACGACTGTAAAACCATCGCGTGTCCACTTGTTTATTTTCCACATAAACCTTTCACAATAAAGCTCAAGATCCTGTTGAGACTTTTCAAAATAAACTGAATCACGTGAAAGATTATGCTGAGTATTTATGGATGAGAAGCAAAAAAGAGCCATCGGATGCTAAAAAATAAACCTTAGACTCAAACGTTAGAACAGGCTTTTCCCCGCAGCACGCCGTGTAATAAATACTCAAAAAGCAAACGGCGGCCGTTACAACTTAGGTCTAAAAATGTATCATTTCATGCATCTGTTAAAACACTCGACTCCAGGTATATGACGTGCAGCTGGAAACACTTCACGCAAGTCGAGCTGCCCGAGAGTCACAGAATTTACAGAAAATGTAAAGATTTTGTGATTTATATCGTTATCGGACGATAGATGTCTTATATCGGGATATGAAATTTTGGTCATATTGCACAGCCCAAAGAGAAATGTTTTTTTCATGACAATCTGCATTGTTTTGTAACTAAGTAACTAAGATATATTTCATGTTTGTAGCACATATGTTTTCCAGAGCCTTTAGCAGAGGATGCATCACCATGGCAACTACGGAAGCTGACTTTTCAAAAAAGTGGCAATATTTTCAACTAAATCACCAAGTAATTTGTATTGCCTAAAACTAACCAAGTAGTTTTTAATGATAATTAATGAATTGAACAAAATTAGTAATGTATTAAAAAAAATAGAAATTTGATTAAAAATCTTTGATGTGTATAATGCTAACTTAGCTCTCTGGTGTGAGCAGTGATTGAATTGCCCCACCAGCACCAACCCCTCTGACCTCTTAAGTGTGACTTTTTCACCTATTAAAAAAGTGTTTCAGAAAAAACCCCATAAACAAGTGTTAAATCTGTATTTGGAAATATGACTTAACATCTTAGAGGTTGTGACTACTGCATGAACTACAATGAGATGTGTTGCGTCTCCAGATATCTACATTTAAATTACAGGCCTCATTACGTCATTTTATCATATATGAAGTTCAAGTGAATCAGGAACTTCCACATTTTGCTATGTATGGGACAGAACCTAAAACAGGACATCTGGCCCTTTTACTGCCCACCCCCAGTTTCTGAAAGAGAGCCAAATTCAAAATCGCATTACCATTTCCAACTATGCAAATACAACAGATAATCACAGAATACAGCCTCTGTCTTTCAACAGCATATCTTATGTCTCATTTAATATACTATATTTTGATAATGGCAGTAGTTTTGCTGTTTCAACAACACCATTGTCCATAGCCTAATGTGCCTGCAGTCTAAGCATCATAACCTGACAGAAGAGATGGGGTATAAAGACTGGGGAAAACCTCCCTGTACATTTTAGATGAGACTACGTCCCATGTAAGTGGATATAATATAATTTTGGCATTTCTGTCATGCTATAAACATATAAAAGCGCTTCTATATAAAAGATTACAATTTTAGTGTGAAGCCAAGCTGCTCCAAAACCCCTCTAGCTGCAAATGCAGCTTCACAAGTTGCTAACACGGGGTATGTATTTGCTGGTGTTCTGGGAGAAAAACCATTAAAAGCAATAAAACATTTCAGCAGCTACTTTGAGCGGGTAAACACCCAGGCAATCATATTACCAAGAGAAATGCACTTTCCTCTGCAGGACGGGATTTAAATGACACTCTAAACACCTCACATGCAGACTTTCAGCAGTGGTCAAAGCTGTAAGACCCGGGATTGCTTAATCACTTCATTCTGATACAGAAATATTAGACGCTGTTGACATTACTCTGAGCAGTTTCATAGTGCTCCACTGTCACGCAGCCAATTTTCAGTATACAAAACAGAGATATGTGATACTTGGCTCTAAAGATGTTGGTTCTCTTTGCCCTTAAGAGAAAAGCACAACAGCACCGAAATGACTCGAGTCGCCTTGGGATGACTCTGTTGCCAACACGGTAGCCGGGTGTCACAGAGCGATGGGCACCTGACCTTGAGAAATCAGCGGCAATCCAACACTTTAATGTCTATTTCACACACCATTTGATTCCAATGGATTTAAAACCCCGAACGACCATTTCAACAGTTGTTACGATCAACATTTTGACATCCATAATGTCCAGCAGTCGGGGTGGTCAGGCATCGCCTCTGCAGTTAAACCGGGAAAATGCTTGAATGTGTGTGTGAGAGCGAGGCGGGGAGAGCAGAAGTGAGGTCTTCCCACTGCATGGGTAACAGCTGCGATGGCAGCCGCTATGAGGAACAAGCGTGTCATTGAGTTTCTATGATGTCACTCTTTGGCGAGGCAAGCAGATGGGCTGGGCCAGGTACAGAACCTACCATTAATAAACACATACAAATGAATACCCACTCGCTGACAAACACAGCCACATTATGCATTTTCGACCCAGAGTAGAGAGCACCCACACACACGAATTCTACCAAAATGCACCGTCTCGCATGCATAAACACCTTTTCTCTTCATTTGACAGACTGCTCCACCCGCTAGTTTAAGATGCAACACATTTCGCCTAATATACCCAAAGAGCATGCAGCCCTAATCTAATTAGAGTGTCAGTCAGCAGAGTGTTCACCCAAAGAGAAATTAGGAGAGCACAAAATCTACAAACAGGAGAAAAAAAAAATTCTTGCAGGGATGTGGCATATCTACCACCGCCACCACCTTTTTGTGATATTTTTTAATGGTTTCACAGTTGCCCCTGCTGAGATTCATTACCTGTTCTAATTATAAAGGCAAATGAAATCAGCTCAATACATTATTAATAGAGAAACACTATTAGGATTCATTTGCAGTATTTGCAACAATATGGTATATTCCAAATGTTTTCATGGCTGATTAAAGACACATAGGGAGGGGAAAAAAAGGTTTATGAATGTGATGGAAATGCTGAAGGTTAGAGTGCGAATGAGACTGGTGACTGGACAGAAAGAGATGCGAAAAATGAAGGAGAAAAGGCGAAAGAGTCGAAACAGAGGGACAGAGAGAGGTGTTCTCGAGGGGGAGGGTTAGTTTGAAGAGAGTGCTGGCTTTTCCACACGAGGAGGTATTGATGCCATATTGGACGGAGCTACTTATGAACAGGTGTGCTGCGCTTGGTCCCTGTGACCCAGGCTTCACTTCCTGCATGGCTACACATCCTATTGAGGTGCATCAGATCCGGGCAGAGAGAGGCAGGCATCAACCCCACTCAGGTCTAAGATGAAGGGACATCCACACTGCAGCTCTGTCCCTTGGACCAGCAGGGTGAAACGGAGGATTGCAGAACCAGCCCCACCCCAAGAGTACAGCTTTAGAGTGTAAGCAACCATGAATAAAAATGGACTTGCAGGGAAGTAGGCTTCATAATAATTATTCGTTTTAAAATCAGTTAAAGCCTTTTCTCAAATATCCCCCAGGAGGCGTGGGGTTAAAAATCCATTTGTGAGAAGTGTACCATGACATCGAGCTTGTCTCCCTGGAGACAGAGGATGTGACATTAGGGAGTGTGCATGCGTCAGGTGAGGCTATATATACATGCATATATGTGTGCATTGTGTGTGCAGGGCATCTGAATGTTTGCAAATTTGAGAGTCACTGGAGCACACCGGCTCAAAGACACACAAGCCAGAGTCATACCGTATCTCCTTTTTTAGATTTCAAGAGCAGATGTCTAGTATTTTAAAAGGTCAGCTGCAGGAGAATGTAATGTTCAAGTTTCTACGGCCCGTAAGTAAGCAATTTCAGGGTGTGTATGGATATAATGCTAAGGTCATAATGTGCATTACTGTTTTTTGTACTAATCACCACATTGTCTCTGTGATGCTGATCACATTGTCATCAAAGGGTTACCTTTAAAGGTGTTAAATTGAGGGGAAATTGAAAAGCAGATGACAGGAAGATAAACCAGTTTGCCTAGAAAAGAAAAAGGGAAAAAGGCAGAAGTCTTGGAAAGGAGGGAGAGGAGCGGGTGTCCTACTTTACCGTCACACCATCTTGCCAGACGTGTTCTTTCTGAAGCTGCTCTGCTTCTCTGGCCAGTTTCTACAAGGTAGCAAAAAGAGAAAAAAAATAGCAGTGTCAGTATCAGAAGTCAATAGAAAATTGATTTGTTTGTGTGTGTGTGTGTGTGTGTGTGTGTGGGCGTGTTTGTGTGTGCCACGGACAAACAGACAGAATGGAAATGGTGACCTTGTTCCCTATAAAAGCTGATGATTACAACGGCAGCTGTCCTCCTTTAAGCACCGGTCTCACAGCACGAGGAGATGAGCATTCAATGTTTCCCCTACCACTGCCCTATATCCTCTCCAACTTACAAAAAATAAAATAAAATTTAAAAGACAAATTAAAAAATACATTTTATTATTATTATTTTTATCTGCACTGAAATAACAATTACAAGCAAGAAAATATCCAATTTTCATCGTCTCAGTCAACCTAAAAACAGTTTGCTCAGTTTGTTAATGCTTTATTAATCTTATACAGTGCACTCTCTGTATTACAGCGTAGAAAATATCACTTTGCACTTGTATCTTCAAATCCATGTCTGTCTAATTGACATACTGTATGTAGTCAAAACTTTAGGATTTAACATGTAAATAATATTCACACTTGTTGCCAAGAAGCACACCGAGAGTCCAAATCCCCAGTCCAAAGGCAACTCGCACTCTGGTGATAATTTAAGGCAATAGTATTATATTTTGTATATATTCATTTAATTTTCTTTGTTCTTGTTAAGTGTACTTTAAGACGTTCGTAGTGCAGTAAATATGTATATATGACACATAGTTTTATTGCGCAAACACTATGTAGGAGTGGGTAATGGGTAATAGGTACTGATTTGTAAATAACTGGAGATGGTTTGTGAAATCTGAAAGGCTAAGGCTGTGCCAAATCATATTGCCCACGTTAATACTGGATACATTTTTACCTGATATGAAAGTGTCACATTACAATAACAAACATATGCATATGTTCCATGGTGTGTACAACAACGAGACAAGCCCGGGCATGTCTGAGAGCAAGAGCCGCTTGTCAGTCTCCAACGGCAATTAGGTATCTTGTTCTGCAAACTTGCAACCCAAACGTAAACAAGTCAACCAAACATCGCTTGTTGCACTCCATTCAACAGAAAGTTCAAATGGTAGATAGAAATTTCTTATGTGGTTACATGATAGAAAAGCAGAGCTTTAAGCAACTGGTTAAAAATCTCAACCCAAGATACAACATCCTAGTTATAAAATATTTTTCACTTTTATTATGTGACAATATTGTGCAGATCCTGAAGAGTTAGCTAATTGCTTTAGCTCTTGTCAAAGTGAAGTGCTACATAGTTATGTTATGCTTTCACTAAATATTTCCAGGGCAAACACTACTAAAGCTACTTTTGTGCATATATTCCTTTCATGCTGTGTTACTGGAAATACTGCTGAGTCACTGCTATTGCACTGCAATGAACTACAATGCTGGCTCCTTGTTTCAGTAGATTCACACTTTAAATTAGGAAGTGCGCCATCTATAACAGTAGCCCAAAGATAAGAAGAAGGATGGAAAAAGTCAAGATAACTTTAAACTAATTCCAGGTGAACCTTTGAGCCAAATTTGAAGAAAATCCCTCAAAGGGCTCAAAAGATGTTCATGAAAACAGGCAAAGATCATAGAAAATGGATGGATGGATGATTTGTATTATAAAATTATTATTTTTATATAAGATGTTATTACATATTGCACAGGTAATAATAATCTTATACTGCAAGTGTATCCATTTATTTGAGAGCTGAAACACAATGTAAACAAATGTGACATAGTACCATACGATGTTTACAATAAGTACTGGTGCTGCAGTAGATCCTCATCGCTCCAAACAAAGACTCATCTTGAATGGCTGTTTGTCAATAATATCCATATTTGTCCACGCATGCAGATAAGAGATGGACATTAACTTGAAAGGCAGTGTTTGCTATGATTCAAAATTGTTATCTTCAGCTGCAGTCAAGTTAAGAATGTATTATTTGATTTAGTCCATATTGACAACAGTCAAAGTTTCTGTGCACCCTGACTTTTATATTTAATGTGCACATTTCTTAAACACCAAGTATGCTTATCTTGTTAAACGTTCTAACACCCTGGCAGCACACACTTCTTCTTTTTACTGTTTTTTCTCTCTCAATATGCACAAATACTCTCCATCAACACAGACAAGGGGCACCTTCGTGATAACGTCAAATATGAAACTTGATTTCTTTCCCCTCGTGCACTGAAACAACAACGGCCAAATAGAAGAGTTGCTGAAAATCGTGTCATTAAATGTCAGTCAAGTCTCACTGAATATAAAGTGTTTTAACTTGAGCTTCTGTTACTATTCTACTAACATACACGTAATATTATCATCTTTAACTGATATTTAGCACCACTGCCCGTGATGTTCTTACATGTTCTAACATAATTTCCTATGATGTGGTTCATCCCTGCAGAAGCTTCTCTTATAGGAAGTCGTCCAAGTGGCAAATACGCCTCCTACCCTACAGTGAATCTCACCCTCCTTCCCTCTTGTGCTTCAGTATCTAGGTTTCCCCAGCCCTCTAGGGGGCGATGTTATTTTCGTCACAAAATAGTGTGATCAGCCACAAGTCCCAAGGCTCGAAAAATTACTAACCCTAATTTAGACCCCTGCTGCAAAGAGAGCTCATTCATTTGCGGAGCTACACCGAAGGAGCCTGTCCCCTGCTATGAGAGCCTTTTTATCTACAAAAAACACGCAAGACATAAACTGTCATTATAGTGGAAGCTGTCCTATTTCTATTAAGTGCCCCGCCCACCCCATTTCTGCAGAAACAATACATCTCAATGCACGCACACAGGCTCTATGTGTGGTCATGCGGGATGCTAGTAAAGATAATTGCTTCGCTCTAAGCATGTACACAATGTGATATCGCTAGCATAATTTGTGGCGTGCGGTAGCAATAAATCTGGATCTTTAAAGCCACTTTTTTGCATTATGATATTAAGCACCTGAATAAGCTTTTAATAATGATTTCATTCATTTTCTGTTGAGACAATAGAAAGCTAAAACAAAGAAATAAGGATCTAATTAGCTTATTGAAATTATTACCAGAGTCCATTATAAAAAGCAGTAATTGCACGGCTTTTTGTTAAGGACGGTCAACTTCGCTAAAGGGCAGCACCACAACAATAATCTCATAGCTATCAGCACTCCCACATTTAATTCGGGACAAACAGAGGAGCCAAACAAAGATTTCACTACACTGTGGCAGCTCAGAGGCTAGCCACATGATTTCAAACTCTGTCTCAACACATGGTACACGTAAAGCTTTTCATTAATATGCAAATATCTGTGAAGTTATAGTAGCAAGTTGCATTTTCTTAGCAGTCTTTTCTCAGTCCTCTCTTATGATCTATGATCTAGCCATTCCCCTCAGGATTTAGTCTGTCAGTAAGAATCTCGACTTTGTTCCTTCAGAAAATCCATTTCCCACCCCTTGAGTGGCCAACACATCTTGTTTTTCCAGTTCTCTGTTTTCTCCAGCTGCCTTTCTCCTGGTCTTCTTCCTTCCTCTCGTCCTGGTAGGCAAACATTTCTCTGGGATCCTATCGCTTCTCTCGCTGCTTAATGCAGTCCCTGCTCCAAAACAGCCATGTGTCTTCATGTGTCTTTCCTTCCTCTGTGCTGGCCCAGATGGATGGGCAACACAAACAGCCAATGAATCACAGTGAGAGATGTGGGAAGGAGGGGGGCAGGGATATATCATCTATGCTGGTGGCTGTAGCCCAAGCAGCTTAGAGCACTGGATGAGCATAGTGAGATCAGCGCAGTACAGCACAGATAAGCCCAGTACAGGCCCACACAACACAGAAACTCAGCTACACTACAGCATGCAGGCACAAATACACCAGGACAGTCAACAACATGAGCGTGAAGCGCTAATGTTACCGCTATTGTAACCTTGACACAAAACGCCTCACATGTCGGGCCATTTGTCACGCAGTCGTCGGGCAAGGTCAAGAACCATAAACACAACTCTGCGATGTGTAGTGACGTTTGAAGTGCTTCTACCACTTCTGCAGACTTAAACAACACGCAATGGAATCTGTCACGTATGGGAACATTGTACGTAATAGCGCAGGTGACAGCGTAATTGTGCAAACAACCAAAGAGCAGACAGCAGCAGCTTGCCGATGCCTCCCCTGTCGTAGAACGCTGCCGGCGAAGAGCCGCGGTCCCTCGCTGTGAACTCACAGAGCAAGAAGACGGCGAGAGAGAGAGCGGGGAAAAAAGTAACAAAACGCTCAGCGTGAGACGATTAGGATCTTTAATATTCATAACTGTTCAGTTTCCTCTCTTCCAGAGGGGAGCAGTTTAATCAGTCAAAGTCATGTTATTTCTAAAGGAATGACAGCACACCAGGGACGGACAGCGTCATACTGTGGTGAGCGCCAACTCGACACTGGGCCGCCGTAGCCTGTTAGGCCTTTCCACTGAGCATTAACTTAAAGGGCACTCAACACATTGCCGCCTGTGTGATCTGGAGGGTCTTAAAAAAACAGCCTCACGATGCGTGTGTTTGACCGTGAGGACACTTGAGAAAACACGACACGGACTGTACATGTGATTGCGGCTTTGACTAAGGTACTCGACACATTCTCAAATCACCCCTTTAGCTCGGTTTATGCGAACACTTAAGTCACCTTGGAGACCAAAAGACTGTGAAACGACTCTGCTGAGGTCACTTAACCTTCTCACTGCGACTAATACAGCGAGGGAAGACCCTTGGTACATTTTTCAATGAGAGTTTTTTTTTAAATTACAGCTGGCTGCAGACATAAAGGTAAGCCGGGTTCTTTGAAAACAAACAAAAAAATTATTTGTAAATATAGAACCGTTTTCTCAAGGGTCCTTCCAGCAATGTTGAATTAAACATCAAACTACAGCATCTCTATAGCCCTCCCAAGTATCCTCTGACACATGCATGATAGAGACGAATTTCCAGCACTGGTAGATGTACCAAGAGACAGTTTGAAAGGCA